GTCCTCGTTACTGACTGTCCTCGTTTCTGTCCATCAGGGCTCAGACGTGGATTCTGCTCTCAGCGTCTACAGTGAGACCAACACGGCCACCGTCACCTCTCTGATCCCGGGGTCCATCTACGCCTTCCAGATCCGAGCCAGAAACGAGCGCGGCTACGGCCCCTACAGCAGCACCATCTACTTCACCACGCTGCCTCTGGGTACGAAGCCGTTCACACCACCGGGTCACCAACGCTCAGATCAACGGTGGAGTTCAACGTATTCATGGCCAGGAGCCTGATGAACCCTCTGAACCCCAAAACTGGGTTTGAGGCGTGTTGTCAAATGAAAAATCACCAGAAAACTGTCATATTCCTTCAGAATCACTTTATTCTACATGAATCATTTAAATATTTTTTTTGCATGAACTAGATTCTGTCAAGAACTAAAACCTCTCAACCTCCTGATTCCAACTCATGATGATCAGAGTGCAGAAGAAAAGTTTGTAGATGCTGAAAACACTGAAATAGTTAAATATCTGTAGAATGTGGAGGCAAAACCACAAAGAGACGCATTTAAAAAAGACACAAAACTTCAAAAACAAGACGCAAAATGACAAAAACGAGATCAAAAACCACAAAAACGAGACATAAAATCACTAAAACGAGTTACAAAATGACAAGAACAGACAAACAAAATGACAAAAACGAGACACAAAACAACACAAACAACACGTGATGATGCAAACGGCAGAAACTGACAAAAACAAGTGACAAAATGACACAAGTGAGACACAAAACGGTGCGATTGAGGCACAAAATCCCCAAAACAAGACACGAAACTACAAAAGCATGATAGAAAACCACAAAAACAAGACGCAAAATGACAAAAACAGACCAAAAAAATGACAAAAACGAGACACAACGTGACCACAAAGAGACAAACTGTTCCCAAAACACACATGAAACGTCACAAATGAGACACTAATTGGCAAAAACAACACAAAAGGTCGTTTTAAATGTGAACCAGGTAGATGTGAGACCACCGAGTTAAAGAATGAAGTGATGTGAAGAGCTCCGGCTGAGCTCCAGTCATGTTTAACAGCCGCTCTCTGCATCAGCGTTCATTCAGGTTTAATCTGAATTCCCTCCACAGAGGAGCACTCGCAGCAGATCCAGAACCGGCTGCCCCTGCTGGTGGGCTCGGTGATGGGCGGCGCCGCCTTCCTGCTGGTGGTGGCGGCCATCGTGGTCGTGGTCGTGTTCCGCAGGTCGGTGCTGCTCCTTTAACACGTCTTTAACACGCGTGTGTGTGTGTGTGTGTCTGATTAATGTGTGTAAACTGACCCGGTCTGGTTCTGGTGCAGCAAGAGGAGGGAGAGTCCGTACAGCGACCGACTGCAGCGCTACATCAGCAACAGAGGTGAGTCCATCAGCTGGTCGGCGGCGCTCATTTAGTTTGTCAGACGTTTAAAACAATGAAACCGTTAAAGGCTGGTTTTCATTTGTAGAAATAAGAAATCAGGAAAATTCATGTTTCTCCTAAAAGCAGATTTTTAATTATTNTTCAGAATGCCTCCAACATGGAGACAGGATGAATTAGGATCTAACCACAGCGAAGCGTCACAGGATGATTTTATTTTACTGTCTGTAAAGCAGCAGTCAGATAATTACAACACCGAGTTCTCACTGCTTATAAAATTATAAATCAGCTGTTTGTTTAGATCCAGTCTTTAGGTTACTGGTGCGTTATTGTGCCGTCTCTTTAGAGGAATGCTACAGATCTGAATAACGAGCTTTATAGTTTAAGCTCCACATCAGCAGATACTCACCAGCATGTATTATTCAGCTCGGCGTAGCTGCACTAAATCATCGCTTATGTCTTATTCATTCGGGCAGATTTTTCCCGTTTCCTTGTTGACACAGCGCCGCCGCCTTTGTGTCCAGAGCAGATGTAAAAAAAAACCAAAAGGCCTTCTGAATGTCACACCTGTGCATCCTCCTCCTGTCCGACAGGTGCAGGCCATGAACGAGGTGTCGGCTCTGAGCCCTTTTCCCGCCCGATACACCAGCATCAACTTCACCACCAGCCAGTCAGGTGAGGCCCAGAGCCATGGAGGACGAGGTTTGTGTGTTCTGTCTGGGAGGGCTGGTGCTCCGTCGCTCCGCTCGCTGGACGGGAGGTTGCTCGAGGTTACCACATCCTGTCAGGTCCCATTATGGTCACGGTGGAAGAAAGGGACAAATGAGAGACGGGAAGACAAAGAGAGAGAGAGAGCAGCAGAATGAGGCTTTGTGCACAGCGACGGAGGCTTCATACGGCTTCCCGCGATTGATTGGAGCTCTGAAGAGGCTAAATTATCTAAAATCTTCTCCTGTGCTCTCAGAGTTTATTGATTAAATGAGTGGAAAGTTTCCTGTAACTGGATCCTGATCCGATAGAACTCCACGTTGATCCTCGTTTGACTAACACTGCCCCCTGGTGGTGGTGGTCGATCTCCACCTTAAACCATCCACAGTTCTGCTCCACCAGCTAAAACGTCTTTATCATAAAAGACAGATATTTAAAATAGTATCTGCGAAATCTTATCTTGATATGTGAAGTTCTTGTTGAGATAAAATATTTTTAAAATCTCCCGTCGACTCACTTTCAGCAGGTTCTTTTTTTTCCTCACGTTGAAATTAGTTTGAACAACATCTGAGGAACTATTAAAGATAAAAACCTGAAATGTTCTCTGTTATTTCTCATCATGTCGCTGATTCAGAATCTGTCATATCGGACAAGTAGATCAAATATTCTCTGATTATGGATGAGGTGAAATATGAAAAAAAAATGAAGCTGTCGTGAAAATCTTTGTGCTCATTAACTAAAAACCGATAAAGCAGAAGTGAACCAGTGATGTTTTCTGAACCACGTGTAGCTGCAGGTCACAATAATACAAAACTAAACATGTAGAACACTTTTAATCTGTAATATTTGGTCACAAACATGAAATTAAAGAAATTTTCTGGTGAATTTTTATATCTGATTGAGCAGGTTTTAACACAAAAACTAAAATATTGGTAGAAAGTAGAATAAATGTCACTGAGAAAATACATTTTTCCAATTTAAAACTCCAGAAAATAACCTGCTGGAAGTTGGTTGACGGTTGATTTGATATCTAAAATAATCTAAAATAAAAGACCAGATTTATGCTGTACATATTTCATGTAAATCCAAGAGGCTGAATTTTTTTCTTTATTTTTAATGATTAGTGACAGACTGATCCCTGATTAACTGGACCATCTCTTCGCCTCCCACAGTTCCCAGTACAGTTCCTATGATGCACCAGCTGAGCCGGGCCCCGGACTCCATCACTCTGTCCTGGCCGCAGCCCGACCGGCCCAACGGAGACATCCTGGAGTACCAGCTCAGATACTACGACAAGGTACCGCTGCCAGTAACAGTACACGGTGACGT